CGAACGGGGGTGCGCACCGACACTATAAGGTGTACGACACGTCGGGCAGAAATGTTCGACACTGCACAGCTTGATCGCGTCCACCGTGCGTCGTACGCATTCACGGCAAAAGATGTGGCCTGGCCAGAGCGGAAGCAGTCAGACTTCGAACCGGTGGGACAAAAAAGGAAGGGGGAGGCGCACCACAGGGAAGCGCCACGGGGGCGGTATACTCATCGTAGCAGATGCTGCAGGGCATGGTAGCGGAGGGGATGATGAAACACGAAAGCTTGAAATGCTGATGTGGCCGGGTCGGACATTTACCCACCAAGCAGGAACGTTTTATACACCCGCATGGAACGAATCCAGGACCGGACGAAACAGGAAGGAAGTGGGCGAGGGCATCGGAAGTCTCACGAGTCACGTACGCGCCTCTTCCAGCACGGCTTAGGCCATGGGCTCGGGCACAGCCCCGGCAAGCCTGGACTGCGCATAGGCAGCCGGGGTTAGGGTCAACGGACCGGATCAGACAGCGGAATGGAGCTCGCGATGGTGACATTCATCCACCGACTGCGGACTGCGGACTGGCGTTGATTCTGCAAGCTCGATCCCCGCCCAGTGTTAATGTCGCGGTGTTTGTGAATGGAAGACTGAATGTCTCCCGATGGGCCTGTCTGTTCATCAAGCAAGCTGAAGCATTCGTCATTTACCATGCCACAGCGCGAAAAAGCAGGGACCTCGATGCATCTACCGACGGCGATTTGTCAACGTGACACGCAAGCGGTCTGGCATCCAGCTCATCGATCGGCGCAGACTGCATGCACCTACTCCCAACGCGGCCTTATGATGCCCGTCACGGCCGTAAGTTTCTTAACGCCTCTCAAAAGGTTTCCCATCTCGGCCGAGACGACCCTATTTCACGCCCCGGCGAAAAAATAACTTGACGATCCCTAGGATGAAGTAAACGAGAACCTTGCGGCTATTAGAAGTCCGGGCCCTAGTATAGACGTAGAAACAGAAGCGGACTCCGGGTCTTCGAACTTGTCGTCGATCTCGCGGGCAGAAGCCATCCGTACCCAGATCCGTCATTATGGCTCTGATCGGCTTGAATGCGTTTTATTCATACTCTGACAAATATTTATATCTTGTTCGTTTTATCGCCGTTTAGATCTCAATATAAATAGCGAACACCCACCGCGATCCCTGCCAGTTTATAACTGTTCACGTGAAGCACACCGTCCATCGCCTGCGCGGCGCATACGATATCCGGGCCTTGCGCGAAGTGAGACAGCTGACCCGGAGCGTGATAGATATTCCCCTGGTCCGACAGAGGTCTATTCCGAAAGGCAGGCTTGAACGTGTTCGCGGGAACAGATCGATCAGTAAAGATGCGAGGAGACAATATTACAATCAATGGGTGGATGACGCACCTCGTTTTTTTTTCTTATGAGTCAGGACCAAGGCTCTAAATTTTTATTGCGTTGAACCGAGCCAGTCAAGTCTAGCATCGGTTTTCCAACCAGGATCACATAAGTCAAAATGGGGTCACGACTTCTCGGAGCTCGAATCGATTGCGACCGGTTAAATAAATCCGGGATGACTAGTGGTTCCCGTCAAAATGTCCTGGAGAGATAAGTAACCGGAAGAGTTTTTCACTGGGGACTACCGGCCCACGACTTGTACGCTCTGGAAAAATTTTCTCGAGCACTGTTGCGACCCATCTGCTATCTGAATAGAAATTTATAAACTGATCAAAAACTCTCCATGGCTGCGTGCAGATGCACTTCCACATATCAACCCATTCCGACAGCAGCAACAACACATTCTTGGCATGGCTCTGCATTCAATCGAACTCTGCAGAGCGTCATACGGCACGCCAGGAGCACATGCTCAGCGGGGTCGTCGCGACGCCCAGAGCCTGCAGCAAGCCGCGGCGCAATCCCAATGTCGCTCTCCCGCGCTGCTATCTCCGGTGCGGGAAGAGGCTGGACGGGCCTAGTTTGATTCTTACAGGGGATGCATGCGGATCGTGGTTTCCTCCATGGAAGACATGCGGAACGCGAATCCGTGGGGTTCGGCCGCGACATCCGGACGAATACCGCGCACAAGTCTTATCGCTATGGGTTACGAGAGCGTCCGAACACTTGGACGCGCAGTTTTTTTCCGTATTAAATTCTCATTAGCAGTGCGCTGCGCTGTGCATTCCATTCTGCATGTTAGGACGCACAGGAAAACCCAACTGTGATGTTGATCCAAACGCCAGCCACGACGTGATCCGATCACGTGGTACTGCTCACACTTTCGGCATCGCCTGTGTCCAAGCCACTTCCTTTTCTCCCGCGCCTTCGACGAGCGAATTGCTGACGTGCAGCGCCGACACCAGTGGATCGAAATGCACGCCTCTTCTGATACTGGAATGGGAGAGACAACTCCATCCGCCCCCCCTGCACGTGCGCTGACGACGACGACCCGTCATCCACTCGAGATGAGATCACCCTCGGAGCATAGGTTATTCGTGCGCGGGAGTGCGGTGTGTGGTCACGCTCTTTCGTTCATCCTTCGCTCATCCCTGACCTGCTCCCAATTCTAGACTGCGGCGACTCGACGATGACATCAGCGCTAGCTCCGTGTCTTGGGATACTTATACGCCCAGCTGCGCATAGGGTGCCTTCAACTTACGCACGCGAAAACGACTCCGAATATGCAATCCACACCTGTCTACAACAACAACGCTCAGGCTCAGCAGCTGCAATCCGGTATCAAAAGTGTGTCTGAGGCTGCGTTTCGGCCGCTTTGAGTGCTGACACGACCACAGCCCAAGCCCGATTCGATAACTCGGGAACCGCTCAAGACCTTCAGGGAACCGAGAAACGCGCCCCGCAGACGGACAACTTGGGCAGCAACCAGGGTGCTCGTGCGTACCGTCACTCCCGGTCTTTGCCTACTTACTCAGTAACGCCCAGCCCACACCCAAACGCAAGCTGCACGATTCGACAACAGCACCGGCGACATGCAAGGCTCGCAACGCTTCCAGGACCGATTCGGTGGGTCCACCACCGGCACTGGCACTGGCGACGTCTCCCGGAACGACCACGGGAACAACTTCTCCACATCGGCGACAGGCGTAGGTCAGGCGCAGCAGAACCAGTTTGATGGATCCTCCTCAGGCTTCACCGGCGCGGAATCACGGCGGCCCGATCACAACGACTTCAACGACAATTCAGGCGCCGGTCGATCGGATGGGTCCGCTGGGGTTGTTGGGCCCGCAGGTACCGGGGATCTGCGCCAGCACGACAATTCCGGCGCTGGCGGCGGTTTAGGGTTCACTTCAGGCGCACAGTCCGGCATGGCGGCGCATCCCACGGCGATGCACTTCGGCCCTGGGCCTGTCGACATCACTCGTAACCGCGAGACCGCGAACGCGCGTGCACTTGACGGGCAGCAGCAGCAGCAGCAGACGGGCACCGGGGCTGGGCTCCAGCACCATCACCACCTCCACCAACACGAAGGGGCTGTGGACTTGAGTCACTCGGACGCCGGCCAGATGACTGGTCAGCGCTACGACCCAAGTGGAGCTGGTCAAACAGGGCTGGGATCTGAGCATAGGCATGAGCATGGAAGTGGGCGTGATTTCGAGGGTCGGGATGAAGGGCGGCTCGACCAGCATCGGAATCAGCACCACGGGGCCGGCGATGCAGTAGCTGCTGTGACCGGGGTTGCTGGCTTGGAGGAGGTGAAGCACAAGCATAACATGCGGCGGGATGTCGAGCACAACAATAACAACAATGATAACTCTGGATTCGACCAAACGCAGTCCACTCGCACACACCCGACAGGCACCGATGCCAGTCGGATGCAAGTTGGACAGGGCGACGGTGCTCCGTTCACAGATCGCTCTGGCGCTGGCTCGAACGATCACCGCACCACCGCTACTGGCGCCGTTAAGCCGACGCACCACGACATCCACGGCGATCGACCGGAGGCTGACCACAGCTCATCTGCCGGTCGTGAAGACCGCCACCATCATCTCGGTGCTGGTGCCGCTACTGGCGCAGGTGCTGCCGGTGTTGGCGCTGGCGCAGCTGCCTTGGCCGGCCATGGGACCGATACGACTCGTTCCGGTGCTGGGACTGGGACTGGCTTCGGCAGCGGCACTGGGGCTGGGGCTGGTCGTGATGACCATCATCATGTTCCTGGTGCTTTCGGTGCAGGCCACACTGGAGACGCGACGTCGACTCACGATCATTCCACTGCACCTGGTGTCGGATCCACCGGCACGCACGATCGTACCACCGGCACGGGCATGGGATCTACCAACAATGCCGGGACTGGCACAACAACTGGTGCAACTGGATACGATGCTGGAACGGGCCTAACTGGCAGCGCAACTAATACCACCAAGTCCGGCACCTCGCTAGGCGACAAAATCATCGGTAAGATGACCTTTGTTCCCCAACGCACTTCCTCGTCTAATCTCTCAATTCCTTCTTCCTACTCCCAGGCGTTGCAGAGAAGATCGCGGGCAAGCTCGCTTCCAACCCTAGTCTCCAAGAACGTGGTCAGGAGCGTAAGGTGCGTCTCCCTCTGTTTCAGTTACATCCGCAGGCATTAATACTGTGTTTATCTCAGGGTGAATTAGATCCCAGCACCGGCCGTTACCACTAAACAGCATTTGCGGACAATCGAATGTAAAACATAATGTACATTATCTGATCAATCTGTACTAGTACACACATGGATCTAGTTCCCATCACGGCGGAATTCCTTCGTCTGCCATTCGAGATCTCATCGTCGGAGCCGTACCCATTGAGCACATGCAAAGATTCATAAGTTCCTAATCAGTCAGTCGGTCGATCGATATCCAGTCGATCAACAACTCGCTCTCTTATGCACCCTCGTTGGTGGAGTTACAGTCTTCGATTTCTCGGAACTGCCTCCACATGCATTAACTTCGTTAGCTCGCAACCTATGACTGGGTTCAGGGGGTCCTCGACGAGGGGGCTGGCGGCGTCTGTTTCCGAAATCTTCGTCTGTGGTCATTCTCGTGTCTCTATAGATCTCCGGTCTCCCGGAAAACTATGCTGAGACAACAGTTGTCCCACTACACTTCGGATGTTCGGAATATTATTCTATCTTTGAGATGTAATCCGGATCCGAGATTGCCTCAGTTACGGGTGATCCCATCACAAATGACGTCACTTCTTGCACTTATGGATTTCCGCAGGCTGTGGAAACCCAAAATTTATCCCTGCCCGAGCGGATTTTTCTCTCCGAGTTACACAGAGCCCTCAGTCATCTCACCCGTCGATGCACTGCTCGCTGTGTGCTCTCACCATCGAAACAGAGATGACGTCACGAACCTATGCGTGTCATCCGGATTACCCATTAGCGGGTGCCCAAAATCTGAGTCATGACTCACCAACCCTGCTTCAATCGCGCAGTAAGCAATCGTGCAATCGTGGTCTTCGCAGTCAGCACAGCCCGAAATATTTCCAATCGCCGCACATCTTATAATACCCATCGTTCGACAAGATGACTCGTAACTGCCACCACATTCGACGACGCCCACCGTAAATCGCTATGACCGCCAGCTCCGAATACGACTATTCCTCCTGGTCGCCGGCGTCTTCGTCATCATCTTCCTCAAGCTCGCCCGTCCACCCCGCATCTCTTGTGGACCCGGAAATGCACTCGTCTGCCATGCTACAGCTTATCGATGCTCAAGTGTCGAAAGCCTTCGTCGGTGCGTGTCTTCTCGCTAAAGTCGGCCTTGTCTCCTTTCTGACTCGCACACGCAGAATACATCGCGCAATTCGTGACGGACGTCGTCTCCTTCTCTCTAACCCGCGACCACCCAAAACACATCGAGCCCACTCGCGGCCGAGCACCCCGCCGCGCCACGCGCCTCGCCGACTTCATATCCCTCATCGTCACGCGCGCCGAAGCAGAGCCAGCAACGCTGCTAGTCGCGCTCGTCTACCTCGCGCGCTCGCGCGCACACCTCTCGATCTCGTCTCCGCACGGTGCGGCCGAGCGCCTGTTCCTCGGCGCGCTGATGACCGCGAGCAAGTACACGCAGGACAGTACGCCGCGGAACGAGCACTGGGCGCTGGTCAGCGGCGTGTTCGGCACGGCTGACATGGGGATGATCGAGCGCGAGTTTCTTGCAGTGCTCGATTGGGAGCTGGGCGTGAGCGAAGCAGAGGTGGTGGTGCATTGGGCCGGGATCGTCGGTGGCGAGCTGTCGGATGTCGAGGAGGAGGAGAGGCATGCTTCGTCTCGGGGACACGGCTACCACGAGCGGTTGCGTCTACGTCACACCCACCATCGCCACCACTACCGGCAGCGGTCGGTGCCTAGGCTCGAACCGTCCAGTCCAGGCAGCAGTTGCGCCAGCCTTTCGCCAAGGACGCCTGCGCACTCCCCATCTCGCCCCGCTCCGGCCGTCCACCAGAAGCATGTCGCCATCCAGCCGTCCAGGCCAATCCAGGTCGTGTGATCAGGCGCTTCTAAGATCGTCTTCCACACCTCTACTCCGTCTTCGTTGACGATGCCATCGATAAACATCCGATGCACCACCGCGTTCCTCGCTGTTCAGCATGCTAGAACCAGTCGCTACGGTCACTTCGCCCCGCATTAGATATTCTGCCTCGGGGTGAGTAATGTATCAAGTAATGTGTCGACTCAGGTTCACCGCCACCCAAATCTATATCTACGCACCTGCTAGTCACTAGTATTGTATAAACCGCAGCGATCACAGTGCACCCTTATGAGGGGCTCGTTCTGCTGTACACTGCATCGCTTTCTCAATTGAATTATCGGTCCAATATTTGCAAGAGTGCTGTAACCCAAAGGAATCAGCTTGGAAAACATCTTCCGCAAATCTGGCGGTGTGTGAGCTGATAATTATCCACGGTCCCCGACTCTAAACACATCGAGGGGTTCCCTGGGCCGATTCTCTTGAACTTCATCTGGATCCTTTGTTAGAGACATGTAAATCTCGTGCTATCACCTGTCCGAGTCTCGCTGCTAGTCCCGGCGCTTAAGATTCTACCTCAGACCCCTATCCCAGAATAGGAATTTTCGCACATCATCATGTCACGCCAACCCGCCGCTTGATGGCAGCGCTCACACTCTACATATTCGAAGTTCTTCTCCTCCCGCCCTCAAGGTTTCAGGGCCCAGCATTGACACGTCACTGACCTGACCGTCGACAATTGAGTGTCATAGCGACTGACGTGTCACACAATATTTTTTTTATCACGGGTGTAGTACATATGTACCTTGATGGGTATCTGGGGCCAGTTACAAGCGTCCTTGCCAAGGAATGGATGGAGCCCGTTCAGTCTGAGGCTATCCCCAACCTGGTCATAAGCGGTGCTGATGTTCTGTAAACTGCTTGGAGTGAACATCAACCCTTCGAGGGCCTCAGTTCAGATCTGGAAATGAGATAGATGACGTTTCCCGGATGGAAAACAAAGACTAGAGGACCGGCGTTATATTGTCGATCGCCGAGTCAAGTCCATATACCAGCTGGAATTCCGGTTTTATCAAATGAAATCCGATTCGCGGGGGTCGTGGAGGACATTTGCCAAAATCAAGGCACTTCGGTTGGTTTGATGCCTGGTTAGAAGACTGAGAAACGAGGAATGTAACTCTTGGAAAGAGCAAAATCGGAGAATAAATTGTTTCGCGCAGCGAGAATACAAGAATGTGGCAGTTGCCGTTACACTGTCATGAGAAAGATCCACACTCTTCGCCTCAAGTCAGAGATCAAGCCAGTCCCTCCACCGCCCGGTAGAAATCCATTGCATCCTCTCCGACAGTTAGAACGACCTGTCTTTTGCGGCCTTGGGCATCCACTGCAGTCTCCAGTCCCGGCAAATACTGTCCGAACAGTCTCTGCACATCCTTGAACACCCGTTCTGCAGACTTGGCGGCGTGGGAATGTGTCGCAGATGCATTGACGACGAGTTCCAACCTCGCAAGTGCATTGAACAATGGCGTCGCAAGTAAGGCAACCATGTGCTCGAGTGAATCGAACTGATTCGGAAAGTCATCTCGGTGTAGGATGAACGCATCGAGAACGAGTTCGCAGATGGATGCATGCGACTGGACCACGATTTGTTCAAGCAGGTTCACGAGGGACGCAACACAGGATATTGATTCGCACTGTGTGTCCCCTGTGAGGCGCAGCGGAAAACACAGGCGTAGGGAGCGAAGATTCGAAATGGGAGCGTAGTCCACCTCCAAAAAAAGTTCGTATTCTGCGAGACACCAATCAGTGTTCAATGGCGTGAGGAAAATCCGCGGGTAACTCACGGAATGAGCCTTCGGGGTCACGGATCTCGAGCTCCTCCAGCCTACTCCCTTGGGCGTTCAGATAGCGACTGGCACCTGTAACATGTGCATAGCCGTCGACATATCTGGAAAACCGATTTTTCCAGATGAGCTTGCGGGTTGAAACATTCACCAGCAGATTGCCCACGAAGACAATGTGCACATACGGTTCCAGACAGTCCAATTGGAGCGGCGGCAAGGAGAGACTCTCCACCCAGTTCTCCTCGCTCAACCGGAATGAGATCTCGGAGAAGTGGAGGTGGCGAAGCTGGGGCAAGGCGGACAGCAGCCTTTTTAGTGTGTGCATGGATTCGAATCTCGTGCTTACGAGCTCCAGACGTCTCAGCGTGGGAGGGAGGTTCGGGCAGTGCTCGGGGATAGTGCACATGAGACTCAGAGATCGAAGTGCGCGGAAGCTCTGCCAGCACTGGGACAGGATTGTGAATCCCGTCAACCCATTCTGCGCCGCCAGCGTCGTGCGTTCAGGAGCTCCATACCCACCGCTCAGAGAGATGAGGTTCACATCGAGCGAGCCGAGTGTAGAGAATAGCGTGCCCTTCTGCTGTCCAGCGAGATGGAACAGCTCGAGGACGTCGTCATAGGTGTGGCGTGGCTGGATGTGAACGGTGAACCAGCGGCGTGAGAAGTTGAGCCAGCTACGGGAGACCAGAGTGCAGGTCGAAAGAGCGCGGTCGTCGTCCGCCAGGTGAGAGAGGATCTTTTCGACGAGTTCGAGTGGGATGTCGAGGGTGCAGCACATGAGAGGCAAAAAGCAAGTTGGCGGCGATTTGGGTGACCCGGTCGGTCACCGGTATCACGTTCTCATAGTTTTTGGCGCAGGCCGATTTGGCGTAACCGAGAAGATCCGCGCCTCGAGATCCACCGTCATGTGCAAACAGACTGTCCACCCCCACAACGCATGATTTTTTTAATACCAGGCGGCGTAGTAATCGGATATTATGTGAGTCATCAGGATGACCATGCATTAATTGTCAATGTAACACACCTGGCTGGCTCGTGTGTTGCACGATTAAACCAGTCTCGTCGAATTCCGTTTATCCATCCGCGGAACATCATTCGAAAGGCCTCAAACAACATTCGAACACTCTCAATTGTACATCTCAACGGGGGTGAATGCCAGCAAAGTATAAGATCTTTCGTAACTCAGGGAACGCCTGGCCGCCGAACAGCATCGGAATAGAAGACTTGAGACCGTGAACATTAAACGTCTTTCCACTCGACTCCGTGACCTCGCAGGTTTTGGAACGGTCAGACACGTGTGTATGGGAGATTGATCTTCCCCAAGCTGCGCGAGAATTGCGGCAATGGCGCTTGAGACGGGATCCGGGCCTGGGAGACTGGGTGGATGAGTTTGAGATTCGCAACCCTGCTGAGAGCAGCATGGCTGAACACCTCACAGGTGGCGCCTCCCCACAGCCGACCCAAAGAAAGATCAAGTCAGCGGCATTTGCTGTGGGAACATCCGACTGCCAAGCAAGCCGCCCAAAATCAGGTCAGGGCTCTGTGATGGGTTGATCTGCTTCGATTCGACTTCCTTGTGCTTTTTATGACTCGCCACAGGAGGTTCACAGTGCAATACGAACCCCAAAACTCCAGCTCCCTCCGGAATCAATTCGTTCCCAAATCAGTGGACTCTCGATACACGCCAAGCCATCACTCTGAGAATCACCAGCCGACAGCGGGAAGGTACTTGCTCTGATTCTCAGCCCGGGCATCCAGACTACATTCGGGCCTCAGAAGCCATGTCGACTAGTAAAGAGCGCATTGCATGTCCCGCAACGTGATTCCCGAGGCTTTAAGGAAAGGGTTTTTCGATGCCCTCGTTTGTGGGCCATATGATCCTCGACATTCGCATGTGTATTCTCTGATCTCGTTACCTATGCCTACACCGCAGTAGTCTGGACCGAGCTTGAATGCTCACCCGATGACCTGCCTCCCCGTCGGTCCCAAAAAACGCCATAAACTCAGCAGTGCCAGGTGTGGATGATCGGGACATGGAAAGACCTGGGTTCAAACAGAAAGTGATCCTCGTCCACAGGATGTGGGAGAGAGGTCAGATGTCGCACCAACATGAATGAAAAGGAAAAATTGGGCGGCAAGCCTGGGTAACGGGATATCATCGCCGTGTCCTTTTTTCGAGATCAACGCTCATTGATCGTAAGGACCTGCATACCTAGTGGTCAACTGTCACGCGCGAATGCAAATTCTCAATCCTGAGCTCGTGGTCGTAGATACCAGAAAGTCCATCAAGTACCATAATTACGGTAAGTTTATCATCTAAATGACCTTGATGAATCTGCATCAAATCTCAACCGAGACCTCTGTGTGCTCGCCGTCCTGAGATATCCAGTTCAATCCGGCTCAGTATCCACGGAATGCCACCTGAAAAGTCAAACGACAACTGATTGACCAACGGATTCAGCTTCGCATCAGGAACGCCAGTAAAGGCTGCGGTATTATTCAACTCGGGCATAGACTCGGTCGAGAGCAGCGTCGAAAGATTCTACCAGCTCGGTAATGATGTTGGCGCGATCATCGTGCGAATAAATATAAAAACCGATGTTGCGGATCCGAGTGTGCGACTGAATCGCTACGTGGAGCAGCAATTAAATGGACGAGGAGTCGCACAGAATTGACGACTGTGTAACGCGAAGAGACAGATCGATGGTAATCGTGACGAGCTTCACATTGTCTTGATCATCGATCTCGAGCAGTTGAGCCGGATATCCGGGTCATAAGACACATGCGGCAAACGCAGCTGGCCGATCCTGCCAGCTTGGACACACCATATTCCGTATTCTCAAGTCGTATCCCCAGGTTTCCTAGCACGTTCCTCACGGGGAAAGTGTTTGCAGGATTGGATTCACCAGATTACGCGTCCGGACGAGATGCAGCCAGTTTTCCAGGGAGACAGTCCATCCGGGAGCCGCGAAAGAGTCATCAAGATTGAGCTCTAGGGTGACATAAATTCCTAGACTGCGTCTTCTGCGACGGATTTTTTTTGCCACTCACCGCCGTGAAGTCGTAGGTATCAAAGCAAGTCAGGCATCGGGACTAGAGCCCGCACAGTGTCCCGACGCTAGCGAACACCGTCTCAGAGAGTTCTAGTCTCTTCAAGCTGGGGGGAAAAGCAGGCCTGCTTTCTGGAACGAGATTCGGGCCATGAAGACCAAGTGAGCCGTAGAATTTGGAATCGTGCTAAGCGCAATATAACTTGATCTCATCCAGCCACGTTGAAGGCAATTGACTGGAAATTTATCCAAGGCTTTCGGCGCGGGGCCTGAGGGGTCATCAACGAGCTGGATGAATGCTGCGGCACTCGCCAAATCAGCAATGAGCATCCATCCACATGGATGACAAACCAATTAGGTGTCGAGTATAGCCACGAGCGCGATAGGAGTGCAAAGTTCGCTTATTCCCGCGCTTATTCCCGGTGGAATTGGGAGCCTAGATGGCCCAGGATTGCGCCTAT